AGTAAATTGTTTATAATTTAAAACATGTATCAGCACTTACCTGATAGTCGCCGGAGTGTAAGCTTGACGTGATCTGGTATTTTAAAAAAAAGTTTTGACTCTTAAAACTATTCAGAGACGCAGAAACGTGCTCTGATACCAACTGTAACACCCCGCTTTAACTTAATTATCAGAGTACGTTTTTAGGACATCTTTTAAAAATAATTTGAGAATATGATTCGGAGTGTTACTATAATATTTATTTAATCTTTAAAAATCCGTTTTCTATAAATCTTAAACGGCCGTAACGGATTTTTAAAGATAAAATAAATATTATAGTAACACTCCGAATCATATTCTCAAATTATTTTTAAAAGATGTCCCAAAAACGTACTCTGATAATTAAGTTAAAGCGGGGTGTTACACATCTTCATCTTTCTTTTCCAATAATCAAAAGAACTTATTCTATCAAAAAAAGGTGGTTTGCCCCCCACATGGTTGAACACAATTTGAGCCATTGCACACCGAGGTTGTTAAGCCTTCAAATTAAGGTGACCACGGCTCTGATACCACTTGAAAGGTCCTAATTGGCTAGAGGAGGGGGTGAATAGCCTAATTTAAAATTCTACAAACACACTTAGCAAACTTGTTAGAATAACAAATGGCTATAAGCAAGTTTTCCTAGCTCTAGTGTGTCGGCAAGCCACCTAAATGAGCAATGCTAGTTCTTATGATCACTAAGTCACACAACAAAGCTATGTCACTAGTTTACTCTTAGGTGAAAAAGGCAAGCACTAACTAGAAACTACTCAACTAGCTAGCAAACTAAACAAGCTAAGCAACTTGCAAGAATGAAAGCAAAGTAATGCAAGTTTGAGTTTAGCGAGTTATACCACCGGTGAAGAGTAGGGGATGTCAATCACAATAAGATATCCAATCAAACACAAAGAGACACAATGATTTATCCCAGAGGTTCACTTGTTTGCCCACAAGCTACGTCCTCGTTGTGTCCCCCACAACCACGTGATCCGGTGACTAATTGGTATCACACACCAAGCCTCTTCACTAGGCGTCACAAGGATCTACCAATGGTTTGGAGTTGCAATGACACGAGCAATTTACTAGGATTACCCTTTGGAACTCCTCCAAGGTGGGTATCAACCTTTCACAACACCGGGAAGCCGGTCAAGCACACTCCTTGCTTGCCACCACTGCCCAAGAACTCCTCCAAGCCGGCTAGGTGGGAGCAACCACCAAGAGTAACAAGAAATCCACCGGCAA